TTGTCCCTAAAGGAAACCTGAGCACCACTGTAATGTTGATGTTTTCTTGTCTTTGAACTGTTAGGAAGCAGTTAAAGAGGAAAGGCTTGTAACTTACTTTTTAGGTGAAACTAAAAGGGAAATGCTCCAACTACAACTACCTTTAAAAACTCATTTTTTTGCTCTGTTAAAATGAAACATCTGCTTTAGCGGGTGTGCCTCCACCTTCCATGTTTTTATTTATCTCGAGTGTGCACTGGGGCTGCTGTCTGCCTTGTGGTCCTAGCAGTCTGCAGTACTGGAATGGGAGGCAGGCCAGGGGAAGGCGTGGGTTATTATTATTTTGATTTTCATTTATTTGATACAAAATAATCTTGACATCTTCAAATTTTGCACTTAGAGACATGAAGTAGAATTCATTGAACTTTTGTCCTATATGTACACTACTATAACTTTTTTTCTTTTTTCGTCTTTTTGAGATAGGGTCTCCTGTAATCCCAGCTGGCCTGGAACTCACTATGTAGACCAGGCTGGCTTTAAACTCATAGAGATCTGCCTGCCTCTGCCTTGCAAGTGATGGGATTAAAGGTGTGTACTGCCACGCCTGGCTATATTACACTGTAACTTTAGCATTCATGAGGTAAATTAGCATGATTTTTTCCTAGGATGCTGAGGGTCAAACCCAGAGTCTAGCACATGCTAAGTAAGTACTCTGCCACTGAGCTATACACCCCCAGCCCTGTATAAAGTTTTAAAGAAGGGACTGGAGAGTTCAGTAGTTAAGAGTACTTGCTGCTCTTGCAGAGGACCTGGGTTCAGTTTTCAGCACCCATATGGCAGCTAACTACCATCCATAACTCTAGTTCCAGGGGATCCGACATCCTCTTCCCGCCCCTGCAGGCACTATGTTTGCATGTTTTACTTACATACATGCAGGCAAAACACTCATACACATAAAAAAAAAATTTTTTTAAATAAAAAATTTAATGCTTTTTTTAAAAAAAATTAAGAAAACTTTAAGGTAAGAAGTAGTGAGCTTGACACATTTTTAAAAAAAAATCTTAACTAGAACACCACACTGTAAATTTAGTAAGAATATTTGCTAAGATATTTTTTTAACTTTTTTTTTTAATGTGTATGTGTGTATTGCCTGCATGTAGATAAGTGCACCCGTGTTGTGCAGTACCCGCAGAGGACAGAAGAGGCTGTCAGATCCCCTGGGACTGGAGTTACAGACAGTTGTTAGCTGCCATGTGGGTGCTGGGATTCAAACCCGGGTCTTCTGCAAGAACAACCAGTGTTCTTAACCGCTGAGCCATCTCTCCAGCCCCAAGAATATTTTTAAAAATTTAGATACACTCATTCCATTACTCTAAAAAGAGAAGTTTTAAACTGGGCATGATGACTCTTACTTTAATACTAGCACTGAGTAGGCTGAGGTAGGAGAAATGAGAGTTCAAAGCTAACCTGAGCTATGTAATGAGACTGTCTCAAAAAAAAGAAAATGTTGCACATTGAACACCCAAGTGTGCTTTATAGCCCTCTGAGCCTTGACTCTATACTAAAGTCTGTTCTTTTCCTCTGCACTGAAAGAAATACTGTCCTTTTTAGTGTATCGGCAGGGAGGGGGACTGGGGCTGGAAAAATAGTTCAGCGGTTAAGAGCACTGACTGCTCTTGCAGAGGATCCAGGTTCGATTCCCAGCACCCACATGGAAGCTAACAACCGTCCTTAACTCCAGTTCCAGTGGACCTAACATCCTCTTCTGACCTCCATGGGCATTGTACAGCATGGATGCACTCACATGCAGGCATAACATCCATACACATAAAAATAAGTCAAAATTTTTTGATTAAAAAAAATTTAATAAGCAGAGGGAGTCTGGGCCATTGTTTTATCCAAGAAAATTCTAACCAGCACTAATTGCTTCAAGTTTTCTGCTAAACAGAGAAGACCTTTTTTTTTTTTTGGTCTTTTTGAGACAGGGTCTCCCTGTAGCCCCAGCTGGCCTGGAACTCACTAAGTAGACCAGGCTGGCCTTGAACTCACAGAGATCCATCTGCCTCTGCCTCCCGAGTGCTGGGATTAAGGACATGCGCCACCACGCCCGGCCCAAGAAGACATCTTTTAAGGGAGCTAGAGGTCTATGGAACACATGTTAAAGCATACAGAATGATCTAAATCAAATCCCTAACAAACAGAACATGAAAAGAAGAAAAAAATATTTGTCATTTTTACCAAAAACGTTAGTTGGTCTAGAATAGAAGGCCACAAACACCCCCCCTGACTTCCCATCAATTTTCTGATCTCTCTTAGGTGCTTCCCATCTAGCACAGTGGTTCACACTTATAGTCCCAACTGCTCAGATGACTGAAGCTGGAAGATAGCTTGAGACCAGGAGTTGGGGACCAGACAGGGCAATACAGATGCTGTCCCTTAAAAAGAAAGAAAGAAAAAGAATGGGTGGTTGGGGGGGTGTCAGTTTTTTAAATTAATATATGTAGGCTTATTTATATGGGTGTTTTGCCTGCATGTGTGTAAGTGCACCACATGCATGCAATGCCCACGGAGGCCAGAAGAGAGCATTGGATCCCATGGAACTGGATTTGCAAACAGTTGCTAGCCACCATATAAGTGTTAGGGATCACCCTGTGTCCTCTGCAAGAGCAGCCAGTACTCTAACTGCTGAGTCAACTCTTCAGGTCCAGGGCCAGTTTTTATCTGAAACACTGCACGATAACCAGAGACAAAAAACCCTTCCCCAGCTATGCGTTATTTTGCTGCTACTGCTTTAACCATTTGATTTGAATAGGGGTTGCCCTAATGAATTTCAAAGACTTCTGGAACATCCTGTCATTTGTTAGGATTTATAATCTACTATAAGACCTGTTAAGAATTCATCATTCTTAGGAATTCTGACCTACTTTTGTCAGATATTTTCATGTCAGATGCATCCAGGGGTAGAAATATTACTCTGCTTTCTCGTAATAGCATCAAATGAAGGTGCTAGGTGTCTGATAGCTGAAACTTCAAGGTCATTGCCATAGTATAGAAAAAGCCTTTATGAATATTTTTGTTACTGTGTTTCATCTTGTTATCTTCGTACTAAACTGCCTTGTGTGCTACTCATTCAGTAACTTTTGTCTGTATGACTTGTGAGTGTGACTTGGTATTCTGCCTTGCTTCTCCTGGAATGACTATCTCAGACAGCATGGCTAGAAATAAGATGAGCCTGGACTGGATGCTTCCTCTATAGCCTGAGTATGAAATGGGGCTGCAGGAAGCATTTGCTGAGGGTCTCCTCTGCAATAGGTGCTATGCTGGTAACTTGACATTTGGATGAGGGGGATGAAGAAGGGGAAAGGTGCAAATGATGGCGCCAGCTGTGTTCCACAGCTCTTGGCTTGGTTGTCTAGTACAGCTGTCAAGAGGCCATGCTATTGATCATATTTCTGGTGCATTTTTTTTTCTTCTAACTTGTCTGCCTTGCCTCTCTAAAATATGTTAGGATACTATTTTTCCTTTTTTGAGACAGGGTCACATGTAGCCCAGGCTAACCTCAGACTCACTGTGTAGCCAAGGATGACTTGCCTCCACCTCCAAAATCCTAAGATTACAGCAATGTGCCATCACACCAGATTTTATATGGTACCAAGGCTTGAACCCAGGGCTTCATCTATGCTGCACCAACACTACCAACTGAGCTACATCTATCTCAACCATGTTAAGATGCTTCTGAACTGTGTATTTTTGCTCTTTTTAAATGTCTTCTTTCAGCCCTCTTTGATGCTTACAATTATAAATTGTACTTTGTAGTTGTTCTGTTGTTGGAGCATGTTTTAGTCCTAATTTAAAAAAACCAAAACAGTGGGGTACTTGGGAGGGATGGGAACAATGCAGAGACACTACTCATGTATGAAATTTTCTTTTATTATTATTTTTTTTATTTTATGTGTATGAGTGTATTGCCTGTATGTGTTTAAGTGTACCCATGACATGTAGTGCCTGGGGTCAGAAGAGGGCATCAGATCCCCTGGAACTGGAGTTAACAGACCATTTGTTAGCTGCCATTTAAGTGCTGGGAATTGAACCCGGGTCCTCTATGAGAGCAGTCAGTGCTCTTAACTGCTTAGCCATCTCTCCAGCCCCAAATCTATGAAATTTTTAGAAACAAAATGATTAACAAAATACCTTTCAGACTTCTGATGATCTAATGAGAGTAATTCTCATATGAAGAATTTCAGTCTATTTAAGTAACTGCTCGGTATAGAGGCACATCATCTAGACCCAACATTTCAGAGGCTAAGGCAGGAAGATTGCAAATTTGAGGCCCACCTGGGCTGCATAGCAAAAATGTGTCACAAAACAAAAATAAAACAAGCCAATACTTAAAAGCTAATTAAGGCAACTCAGCTCTTAAATTCTCTAGTGAAACAAATTGTAAACCTAAAACCATCCCTAACACTAAATGGTGACTGTGGGCTGCGGGCTTTACTGACTATGCTGTCCACTTTGTATTCAGTGCTGGCCCTGTACATGTTAAGGCCTCTCCCAGTTGTCTAATCATTAAACCATTGTGGAAGTTAATGTGTGAAGTGGAATGAAGGCACTTAGCTCAGTTCCAGTCAGAGCAGTCAGTGAATGCTTATTAAAGCACCTACATTGTGCT